TTTCAATAAAATTCTGAAGTAGGGCGTTGTTGAAAAATTTTCTGAGACATAGTGTTTTCAAACTGGCGGCCGAGATAGGTCGGTCTTCCACTAAGCCATCGATATATCAAACGCAGCACAGAATAGTCTATTCTATAAAGGAGCAACTATATTTAATTCGATTCCTTACGCTATAAAATATTTAATTTTTAACTCATTTAAAAGAAAACTATCTAATTGGGTAAACGAAAATTTTGTATAATCATCCTTAAAGACAAATGGAACATGTATATTTCTATACATTTTCGACATTTGAGAACAAAAAGTTCGAAACCTGAAAGATAAGTAACAAAAATCGAAACTCAGGTTTCAAGCTCGGTAATGTAAAAAAGACTTGTAAAAAACTAAATCAATTATAAATAACACTGGACTACGAAAAGAATTATGAAAGGTTCTTTTGACCAGATTAGGTGTTTCGCCAGGTTTTTTTTTTGAGGTTAAAAAAAATATTGACGTGATGGGTCAAAGCGGACCTCAGATCCGTGTTCAACGAATCCAAGAGCATGTACAACGATAAGGGGGTCGATTCTCGTTCTGTGATGAAGTGAAAAAAAGTTTTCATTTTCGTTTTCACAACTACTTTTCACTCTGCCTTTTCACAGACATTATTTTGCGATTCTGGTTTATGCTGTGAAAATCGTGTTCCATTACCACTATAGTCGTGAAACTTTTGCAACTGTGCTATTGAATTTTCGAAGTAAATGTCAAAGTTGAGGAAAACGTAAACAAAACATCTCGGGAATAATTATTTTATTAGAATTATCGCAAAGAATTCGAGACGAGCAATGGTAATAAAGGTGTACATTTTTTAAATGCAGTATATACAATTTAACGCATTATGTATTTCAGAGATAATTTGAGAGCCGACGCAGACATCGCGACGACCAAAATCCCTTTGAGATTACAACAGACGAGCATTTCATTGATTTATATCGGTTCCCCAAAGCTTTGTGCCTGGAATTAATTAATGAATTAATGCCATTTATGCCGAACTCGCAACGGAGACATGCTGTTCCGAGTCATGTAATTATTTTAAGCGCCCTGCATTTTTTTGCCACTGGTAGCTTTCAAAGAAGTGTGGGGCAAGACAGTTTATCTGCTTTATCCCAAACATCAGTTAGCAGATGTGTGCAAGTGGTGGCAACTGCACTTAATAACATAGCCCACAGACATATAAAGTTCCCAAAACGCGAAGACTTCCCGGCGCTCAAAATAAAATTCATGGAAAAATACCAGTTTCCTGGAATAATCGGACTCATAGACGGAACGCACATCAAAATATCAGCCCCGAAGAAAGAAATTGAGTATGTTTACTATTGCCGAAAGGGTGGGCACTCCAAGAACGTTATGATAATATGTGATGCTGATTATATCGTTTTGTCTGCTAGCGCTCGGTTCGGAGGTACTGCTCATGACTCATATGTATGGCGTCGCTCTCGAGCTTGCAGAGCTCTGGAGGAGCTTTATGAGGCGGATGAGCGCGATTTTTGGCTTCTGGGTGATAGTGGCTACCCACTACAGGTACAATTTATATTATTTTTCTTTGTTAAAGATCTAATGCTAATATAAATTTTAAATTAGCCTTGGCTGATGACACCAATTAGAGCGACATCATGTACCGCAGAAGAGCGCTACAATATAGTACACAAGTCAACTCGAGCTCTTGTAGTGTTGTCGCTCCGTGTAAGAAAACAGTCGAATATATCAAAACATCTGACGTTTATTCAAATAGTTTAAATTTGCGAAATCAAAGTTACATAAATTGTTTAAATATCTGTAAAATATATTAAGTTTAATACCATTTTAAATTACATTATTTCCTCTTGTCTTAC